AACCTGTAGCGAGCCCTATCCAGCAAACCTTTCCCAGGATTGGCATGTGCCAGATCGGGCACTGAACCTGAGCCTGGAGTAGAGCAGTAACGGTGTTAACTTTGTCCTTCATGAGACCAAGGAAACGTTTTCTTACCAGGATGCTGTTGAAAAGCTGGAAGGGAGGAACGCCCTGAGGACAGAGTCTAGCCTTCAACACTCTTGTGCCTCTAGCAGACCAGCTGGGAAGGGAAGGAACAGGCCTTGAGAGTTTGGAGGTAGTGGTTCGTGAGATTAAGGAGGGCTGACTCTCCTGATTTCTGTGCCTGGAGTGCTCGAAGCTGATGGCAGAGCTGTGGAAAGATGTAGGCAGGCTGCTGGGCATACCTGAGGGTGGGCACAGATCCGGAGGGAGCCGAAGTGTGTGCTAGTTTCTCTTGGCAGTCTTCCTCCAGGCTGCCCTGGGTTTCTGAGGTAATGCCATAGAGTCTCCTGTTATTTGAGTGGGTCCTGGGACATTTGATGGTCCTAATGACAGTTGACTTTGACCCCAATGAAATAGTGCAACAGCTTCCCCTAAGCATCTGGGACAGTGGTTCTCAACCTGTGGGTGTAACTCCCTAGGGCGTTGCATATCAGATATTTACATTATGATTCATCACAGTAGCAAAACTAGTTATAAAGTAGCAATGAAATAATTTTTGGGGGGTCACCACAATACAAAGATCTGTGTTGTTGCATTAGGAAGGGTGAGAAGCACTGGTAGGAGGATGTGCGGGTACAGGCATTGTGGCACTGTGTGTCGGGCTCAGTATACGCGTCTCATTTATCAGAGAGGAAGTGAGGGGTAGGCGCTGGGGCCACCTCTTTGTCCACCGGGACAGCGGTGGTGCCTTCGTTGCATCTTGTTCTGCTGTACCTCCAAGGAGGGGCATTTTTTTTTTCTTTTGCTCCTCCTCTGCTTCCTCCTCCTGGTGATTGCCATTGACACAGACTTCCGCTGCCAAAGCTAATTGTGAGGTCTGATCAGTGAATGAAGGCAAAGGCAGTTCCCATGACAACCTCAAAGAGTTTCAAATATAGAGGATGATGTATGTGTGATGGGCTGCAATTACTTGGGTGGAAACTGATGTGTGGACACCGGGAAACATAAGCTCAGAGGGTGGAGGGGGTGCTAGGTTTCTTTGACAGGATCCTTTGTGTGATGGAGAGGGAAGGGGGTCACAGGTCTCACCTCACGGTCAATTCCTAGTGCCTTCAGTATTGGGTGCTCTGGGGAGGCAGGACATGTGTATGTACACAGAGACAAACCGCAGGTGTTCAAAGAGAAATGTTGGTGGTGCTGTGGACTGGCAACAAGCTGAGGTACCCAGAGAAGGCATCCCGGAGGATGTGGGCTTCAGCTGGACAAGGAAGGAAAAGCCCTGTGCAAGAAGCACTGTGTTCAGGACAAGGCAAGGAAGAGAAGAGACCTGTCTCTAGTCCCCTGTCACCCTGGAGGAGGTAGATGGACGTGAGCGTTGCAGGACTGTCCGTGGCGGCTCTGGGGTGTGCCACTGCAAGTGACACGAAGAGCCTTGCTGGGTCGCTGTAGCTGTTTGATCTTGGGCAAGGTGTGTAGAACTCTATTGTTTCCCATCCACAGAGTGGGTGTGCAAGACTCCTGGCATGTTGGTGGTTTGAGATTTAAATAAGATGCTTTGTGCTGTGTCCCCCTTTGTGGGGCGTCACGAGGCTTGGTGCGTGGTTCATCAGCAATCTGCCTTCCCCATGGTGTCTAGGCATCCCTGAGTTCCTGTTCGTCTGTGTGCAGTGTGGTTTGTGGATAGCCATGGTCTTGAGATTCTCAGTGTTTCCAGCAAGTGAGCCCATTTACCTCCTCTGTGGCCCCACTACTGCAGCCAGAACGGAGGAGACTGGGAGACCCCATGGAAGACGGGGGACGGATCGTTGTCCTTATGCAGAGGAATCCCATGTGCCTCTGAGTTGATCATAGTGAAACCCATATGTAGAAAGAGGGGCATATAGAGATGAGAACGCTGTCAGGTTGGAAGCGAACTGTCCTGGCATCATGTACCTCTCAAGAAGTAAGGTAGCTGGAGTGGGATGTGAATGGGAGCGAGCAGACTGCCTTGGGGGCCACAGGCTCCCGTGGTTTAGCTAAGGGCTGCTGGAGGGCAGGGTGGGTGCCTGAAGTTGGAGGAGCACAGAGTTAGCCCAAGGAGATGGGGTAAACTCAGCTCGAGTTCCCATAAACTATGAGAAAGAGACATGCTGGTCCTTTCCAGGAGAGTGGATGCCACCCCGCCCCTCCCCCGCTCCCCAGGCTTTAGGGACCTCACACCATCTCAGTGCCCAGCCTCCCTGCTACTCCACACTTCTGAGGTAGAACACAGCTCAGCACATTCCAGTTCTGTGTAGAGCCTAGGAAAAGCGGGGAAGACGGCCCCACCCACGTGGAGAACGACAGTAAATAAAATAACTGCTCCGATGTGCTGGCTCCAGAAGAGGCGGTGTGCTGTTCTCCAGGCCAGGGAGGACCTGGCAGAGGGGAGGCACTGTTTGGATTCAGCCTTGCAGTGCTTTAGCGTGCGGGGGAGGGGTCAGTCAGGAAGCAGCATAGAGAAGAGTGAAAACATTAGTGTTCTCAGCTCTCTTTGACAGGAAGTGGTCACTTTAAGTGACCCAGTTGTCTATTTCCCTAGGCTTGACAGAAAGGGGCTACAGAGGACAGGAAGGGTCTGGGTTTGAATTCCAGCCCACCAAGTTTGAAGGGCAAATTGTTCAGCATCCTAAGAGTCTTCCTTCTGCACAAGGCTGTGTGTAGAGAGGGTAAAATGAGATGATACTACAGGGTGGTTGGCCCCGGGCCTGTGCGTAGCAGGGGGCTGATCACTGTGGCAGCCGGAGTAGTAGCAGTATTAATTGATACTCTCGGAGTTGTGTTTGTCTCTGTGGGGTGCATGGGTGTGTAACACAGGGCTTTAGGAAACCAGGAGAAAGGATTTATTTATGCTGGTCAGTAATGTGAGTTAAAAGACACAAACACAGCCCGGTGGTGGTGGGCCTTTTTAATCCCAGCACTTGGGAGGCAGAGGCAGGTGGATTTGAACCAGCCTGGGCTACGAAGCAAGTTCCAGGACAGCCAGGGCTGTTACACAGAGCAACTGTGTAACAAAAACAAAACAAAACCACAAAAGACACACTCAGTTCGTCACCTAAAGTCATGATTTAGGACATGGTCCCTTACCTTATCTTGTCATCTGCCCGCCTTCCTGCTCTGAGAAGGACCTAGTAAGACTGCCCTTTGTCCCACAGGGGAGGCAAGTGTGGGCCCCCGAAGCCGCCTCACCAGAGGCAGGCTTGCCCTCCTCCTAAGGCAGCTCTTCTGGTTCTGAGTACCCCCTGGGGACCCTGGGGGAGCACAATTATGCATTTGTGGTGGAGTGGGTAATAGAGCGAGTCACTGGAGCAGGGGCGGGGCGCTCTTCTATGAGTCACTTCTCTTAGGCCTCAGCTTATTCATCTGTGAGAATGAGAAAGCACCCTGAGCTCTGGCAGAACCGTATCGTGCTGCCAGGCAGCAACACCTACCTGGTGTCGGTCAGGCCCGTGCCGGCTCAGGCCTCACAGCTGTATGAAATGGCTGCTGGTTCCATTCTGCAGATGAGCAAAGAGAGGCTAAGAGTGGTACGTTACCACGGGCTGGGGACGGGATATGTGGGTACTAAAGTGTATGTGAGGTCAGGTGCCTGGGGTATCTGGGAATTACTACAGGAATGTGGATTTCTAGGACTTTGCTATCCCCCTCACCCTTTTAGTCTCCTGGCCCTTGCACTTTTGGTATGCTTGATTGGAGTTAGGGTACTAGACTGGAATTCTTGGGGTCTGGGAGCCCAGGGAGGTTTCGCAAGGGGCACCTGGTGAAGCCTCTCCAGGAGAGACTACCATATGAGGCATGTTTCAGCAGCGGTCGGGAGTGATCTTAGGGTAGTAAAGTGGGTGCCAGGGAGGGCACAGCTGACTTGTGGGAGCATATGAAGTATGGGCTACAACCCATTTTCCCGAGTGGGGTGCAAGAGGGCAGGGCAATAGAGCTCAGTAGGGTGGTATGGTCTTCAGGGAGGAGAGACCTGGCAGGGAGTTTGAGCTCCGCTGAGTTCTAGCGCTGTCACCTTTGGTAAGTTACTCCATGCCTTTGCAGTCTGCAGAGCAAGTGCGTGCGGGTGCGTGAGTGTGTGTGTGTGTGTGTGTGTGTGTGTGTGTGTGTGTGACAGAGAGACAGAGAGAGACAGAGAAGTGCTGCCCTGGATTCTCCTTGGAGGACAAGCTCTTACTTTGCTCTTGGCCGGCTGGAGAGTGGCCGGTTTGGGATACCACCTACCCCTCACCTCTACGTTCCACGTTCCGCTGTACTCCAGGTGCACCCACTGGAGGTGCAGGGAAGGCCTTGTGCATATCGCCTGGCGGGGAGTGCCGCGGGATCCCCGGCCTGCCTGGGAAGCAGCCCTTGTGGCTCTGGCTTCCACGACCAAGGCCCCGGCTTGGCTGCTGGGCAGGTCCTTAGCGGGGAGGGCCGGGCGCGGGATTGGCTGGCGTGTGCACCGCCCCCTCGCACACCAGCCTGGCGGGGCGGGAGCAGCCGGCAGCTGGCCGCCGCCTCTGCAGTGCCTCCCTCGGTGCGCTCCCTCGGCGGGGATAATGGGAGGCCCGGCGGCGGCCGATGCAGTAGAGGAGGCCGGCCGAGGTAGCGCGCAGGGCCTGGAGGGGAGGGGAGGCTGTGTGCAGGCCGGGAGCGGGGCCGGGATCTTAAGAGGCCCGAGAGCCGAGCAGGAAAACAAAACACTGGAAGGCGCAGGGGCCCATCCGCGCTCGGGAGGCAGCTGGAGCAGGAAGATGGTCCCGTCCAGCCTTTCTTCCCCCGGCCCCTTCTCCTCCAGTGCGCTGGGGCCTGTGCAGGACTGCTTTGCCACTTGCCTGCTACCAGTCTACCTCACCAGTGTCTTTGGCTTCTTTTGCAGGTGGAAATAAAGGCTGGTGAAGGAGCAGGGCCTTGGGCACAAGGGGCGACTGTCAAGGTACCCTGCGTGCTTGCGTGTGTGCGTGCGCGCTCGCGCGTGTGTCTATGTGTGTGTGTACACACATGTGTGTACATGGGCGCGCGTGGAGGGGGTGAAGTGTTTGGATTGGATATAAATGAAGGGTCTCCTCTGGCGATCTCTTAATCTCCGTGTGTGTGTGTGTGTGTGTGTGTGTGTGTGTGTGTGTGTGTAGAAGCAGCTGAGGGGGAGGGGCGGCGGGAGTGTGGGCGGCCAATGAATTCTCAGGCCTGTGTGGGTTTTGTTTGGATTCTTTTTGCTTTCTCAGCTGGATGGTTTGGGTGCAGTTGGGGTTTGGTTGTTTAACTCTGTGTGTGTGTGTGTGTGTGTGTGTGTGTGTGTGTGTGTGTTAAAGACATGCAACCTACTCTCCACCCCTGCCTCTGGAAATCTCTGGAGAATGGCCCTGGCACTGTTGGTTTGCGTCCAATCTGCAGAAATCCCCGGGGTGTGCGCGTCGCAGGGAGGGAGGGGGGTGAAAGACAGTAAGGGGGAGGGAGAATTGCACTCCTGAGTCTGAGCTGATAGGGTGTCATTAGTCATGCTGCTGTCACCATGGAGATGGCTGGAGAGAGGAGAGGAGGTGGTGGGGGTGAGGATATTTTGGGTAGGGTGGGGGCTGATGCAACATCATGGCTGGGAAGCCAGCGGGTGTCTGCTGTTATTCTGTACCACTTGGTGTCTGGGAGACTGGGAAGGCAGTGTTCCCAGGTGTAGGGGAAGCAGAGAAAGGGGCTCTGACCCATTCCAGGTGGGTTTTCAGAGGGTGGAGTGGTGCATTTGGTAGGGGGAATGGAGAGTCTGGGGAGACTCTGACCACTAAGAAGCCATAACTAATCCTTCTAGCAAGGACCAGATCAGTAGACTTCCTTCAATTTCCCCCGCTTTCCAGGGCTGGGGGCCCCGTCTTGAGTTTGTTATTACTCAGTAGTGACCTCTGGCCTGGGAGGTGGGGGACTGGGACAGGAAAACAGTGTGGCTGGCTCTCTTGAGCAGAGACCAGGAGTGAGGGTGGGAAAGGTGGGCAGACAGACCCAGTGGGGCTCCCCCTTGCATTGAGGAAACCCGGAGCCCGGTTGCTTAGGTAGCAGGTGGGCGAGCTGTGAGTGTCCCAGCATGCTCTCAGTCTTTCCTGCAGAGCTGCCTCCTGCTTCCTGGGAAAGCTGTGGGAAGCTTTGAGGAGGTGCTGGAAATGGCACTCTGCCACCTCACTGTCTGGGTGGTGACGCTGACAGGGTGGGGCTCTGCTTCTTCCTGTGTGGGTTGGGGGTTCCTGGGCTAGCTTACAAGGTGGATCTGAAGCCTAAGGTTATTCCCTGGCCTCTTCCCAAGGAAGTGTTTAGGGGAAGGACATGGATTCTGCTTCAGAAACAGTTTGTTGGGGAGGAAGAGCCAGGTGACCTCAGCTCTCTGAGGGGGCTGGCATGCCGTGGTGAGGCTGGGGGTTGTTGGTAGTCACCTGGGAGGGTCTGCGGAGACCCTGTACTGATACTGTTTGTGCATGGGCTTCCGGGAGAGCTGTAAGCTCACGTTGGCTCACTTTTGCTCCTGCTGTCTTTTCTTGGGAGCCAGAACCCACAGCTTTCCACCTCCGCTTCCCGTGGCCACCCGCTGCTGGCTGGGGGAGTTGTCACTGGGTACACTGTCTCAAAAGTGTGCACACTGGGAATGTTAAGATCATGAGGCGAACTCTTCTGTCCCCCAACTCGAATGAAAGCAGGACAAAGGATGGAGGCAGATGGGATCAGGGAGGGGTAGCGCTCTCCTCTGAACCTGCCCCCTGCCTGCCCGCCTGCCTGCTGTGGTGTTGGCTCTCCTGGCAGACCTGCTTCCTTGCACTCTGCTAGGGTGCTCCCTCCTCTACCACCTGTTGTACTGCCCTGGATCTGGTGAAGATCTTTTGGAGGCTTCCAGCCTAGTACCCAGCCGCAGTGTTAGGAAAATCAAGGGCTTCCCCTTCCCTGGGCACAAGAGCTCCATTCCTCCTGCTCCGAGCTTGTATCTGTGCTTGTTTGTGCTGAGTTGCCTGCCTGTGAACCATGGCTTCCTTCCAGCCTTGATGCCACTAGAATCAGGTCTGAGCCCCTGTTTTGTCCCTATATTTTCTACACATTGGATTTTCTTAGGTGGCCTGTTGGGGGTGAGAGAGTTTTGCCCAATCTGTTATCAGGTCATGGTAGAAGAGCTCCTCCTATGGTCAGGATAAAGGGAGTGTGTATGCATGTGTGTATGTGTACAAGTTCCCACAGGACGGGCACGGGAGGGGCAAGCCCCAAGGGTGAATGGTGTCCAGCAGCCAGAAGAAATAATGCATGTCTCGTTGTGTGCTAAGTGCTGCCAGGAATATCCTGATGCGTGGGTGTGCACAGTGCCTGGCACGGCCACAAAGCTGTGTTTGATGAATGCAAGTCGCCGGTTTACTGTATATTACGCTTTATGTCATTTACCCGTGATATCCCAGGGAATATGCCATAGCATAGTCTCCTGTTGCTGCCTCCTCACCTCAGCAGCCTGGACAGAAGAGAGTGGCCAGTGCCGAGAGTACCAGGCTGCCCTGTGTTGGGGCTCCCACGCTCTGCCTCATGGGAGCACTCCACTGGATAAGGATGTCTGGAAACTATTTTGGTACTGGGCCCAGGATCTCTGCCTTCTGCCTTTCTTTTGACTATTTCAGAAATGCCCTGTTAAGGATCTGCTTCTTGACTCCATGCTTACTCTCGATCACCCCTGTCTGCTCTTTTCTGCCTGCGCCTCCGCTCTTTGGAAGGTCGGGGAATCCCCTTCTCTGAGGTCACTTACAGGCAGCAGTGAGGTTGAAAACAGGTGGACCTGTCATGCTGGAACAGGAAAGGAACCAGCAAAGAGGATGGCAGGTTTAAGTTGGAATGGAGAGATTGCTTCCCATGCTTGGAGGAGCCGGCGTTAACCACAGAGCTCAGTTCTGCCTCTTTGGCGACCCCTGTCCATCACAATGCAGGAACCTGGGACTGCATTCTGAGACCACCATAATGGCCTGTTGTCCTTTTGCTGGGCTTGTGAGGAGCGGGGTCTTGGGTGTTCATCTGCTTTTAGCTACAGATGGCCACTTCCACTAGAAATGGGCTTTGTGGTTTTGCCAGGTTCCCTCCCATACCCTGGAGGCTGTGGCAAGTGGTTTGGCTGGCTGGGGGGTCAGAGCTGGGAATATGTCTGAGGCTTTGTTTTGGCTCAGCTTTTGGGTCTTCCCATCCTCTTAAGACCCCTTCCATCCCTGACCTCTTGGGGTTTTTGGCCTCACTTCCTCCCACATCCAGACATCTGGCAGTCAGCAGGACTCCCTGTTCGCAGCATCTCAGTGGCTTCTGATCTAGACTGGGCAAACAGGGCAGGGATGGCTTGCATGAGTAAAACCCGTAGCTTACAGTGCTAGCCAGGACCCTGTCCTCCTCCCTGCCTCCTTTTGTCTCCCATTCTTTGTCTCTCACCATTGGCTGAGCATTCCCATGTCCCAGTACTAAGTACAAAATAGGAAAATAAAAGTTACTATTCGAGTCTTACAAAGTCAATTTACGTAAGAGATGTGACTTAATTACTTCAGTCATAGGTGAGGAAACCAGCATTGCCCATGTTTCCATGCAGTTAATATGTTTGGGCTCCACGGTGTTTGGGGCACACACCACAGACAGAACCTCTCACCTCATGTGTGCTTGGATGTATTAGGCTTTCTTTTTAGCTTATCGAACCTCAGGGGGCTTGGAATGAAGAGTCAACATGGCAGCCTTGTTGTTAAGGTTAGTGCTTCCAGGATCTGTGGTGATGTGTTAGGGTCCTGTGTTCTGAAATGGATAAGGAGGAAAGAAAACTTGGCTTTGAGACTCAGAGAAGGCTAGGTAAAATACTGTGCCCAGGCTGTCCATGTGAACTTGAAACTACTTCCAGTTCATCAGGCGCTCTAGTCTCCTGGCTGTGGTGGTGCACACCTTTAATCCCAGCATTTGAGAGACGCAGACAGGTGAATTGCTTGAGTTGAGACCAGCCTAGTCTGTATCGTAAGTTCCAGGAAGCCAGGGCTATATAGTAAGACTTTATCTGAAAAAGTTTGGGTTCTAGAACGGGAATAATGTGGCTTAGTCGAAGAGCATTTGCCATAGACTCTCGCTCTCCAGCACTGCCAGAAAAGAACAGAAAAGGTCACCTTGTAAGCACTTACCTGCATATAGTGATATGTGCCTGTAATCTCACAATTGAGAAGTAGATGCTAGCCTCAATTGTGTAGCTAGGTTGAGGCTAGCGTGGGCTATATCAGACCCTATCTTTAAAAAAAAAAAAGTTCGGGCCTTTATAGACTTTGCTGCCTAACTAGCTGAGAGCGAGAGCAACAAGTAGCCAAGTTTCTTTCTTGCTTGGATCTTGGGCTTTGCCGTTAACTGGGAGAGTCCCTGGCCTTCGTTTCTTCTGTACAGCAGAGGGTTTGCCTTCCAAAGTTAGTTGTTCTCAAACTAAATCTAGAAACAGACCAGATTGTCTTTTTAGGTTTTCTTCCTTTTTTTAATTTCTAAGACTGGGTTCTGCTTTGTAGAGTTAGCCAACAACTTGTACGGTTTGTCTGGGGTGTTCATCCGAGCATCCCGTGAGCTGTTCGCAGGGCGGTTCCCATGCGCTTGCTCGTGGATGTCCTGTAACTGACGGCTACTGTGTGTGTGATGCGGGACTGGGTCAGACTGGACAGCAGTGTTTGAACTTGCTCCTGGCGGTGCACAGGGCTCTTGCTTGCGTGTCCACACCCTTTCTGGACAGGGCCTCCCCACTCTTCCTCACACCACGTTTGTTGCAGAGTCTCTTAGAGCAGCCAGAAGACTTACTTGTACCTCAGATCCTGTAGAAAGGCTCCTTCCTGCATGCCCAGGACTCTGCTGGTGCAGTTTGAACTCATGAGCCCCTGAAGGGTGTGCCCACCCCCATCCCTTTGTGTGGATGTGTGCGTATTCCTGGAGACCAAA